TCGTATCATCGGAATCCTGTTTTCTGATTGGTTGCAGAGCGTCGTACGACGCAAATCGGATGCAGTGTGAATCCAGCATAAGACTCTACGCTGCTACGACTTTTATTGTAGACCCTGCTTAAATGCACCCAATGTGATTGGTTGGATCTATAAATTGTTTTCATTTGCTCGACAAATAGATTAGCCGCTTTGTCGACTTGAACGCGCCCAATGTTTCATCCTCGAATTTGATCTCCTTCTTTTTACTCCGTGGCTACAACCAAATCGGCTAATGCGCATCGCTCAAGTTACCTATCTTCTATTACCATGCTGCCTGCTGTTAGCGGACGACAATGACCATTTTCAGATGTCTTTCTTTTTTTATTAAAGTGTAGTATTTTGAATTTTCATAAGTGATGATAAATCGGGAGAAGATTGAGAATATCGAGAGAAAATCGTGATTGACGTATAATGCAATGTTAAACGATATTTAAAACTAATCGATTCGAGGGATGTTTATGAATTCACGTAGGTGCGTTCATTCCATCTGTTGTTTGAAAAGATTGAATTACACAAAGTGAGGTTAGTGAGATTTCGTTTTACTCGCATAAAATTTGATCGATATCTAATCGCGTACCCAGGATCACAGGCATTTTATTGGAATTTCGTATAAGATTTTTCTAAATACTTTCTGACAATAAATACGCCAATATTTTTTAACGCGATAATTTTAGCTGAGCTAGGTTAGGTTAGGTTAATTGAATCACTCGAGGAATAGCGTCTAACGAACATCTAATAGAAATAAAAATTATTATGCAGAAAATTAGGCGTAAACGTTTTTATTTGTTCATTAAATTATACGTATCTCCAGTTTTCGCTCATTAGGTATCTCGTAGAAATTTCGCGCGAGCGCGAGTGTGCGCGTGCTCGCATTGTTTCGTCGCATGCGTGCGCGAGTTCTCAAATGTTCTCAAAACAAAGTACCGGTTTCCGCGGCAACCGCGATTTATCGATTCGCCTAGGCGTCGCCGGCAAGGGCGGCAAGTAGTCACCACTGTCACCAATATATAGCCACTGCAGCTGTAGCAAGTTGTGGCGTTCTGCTCCGAGTTCCGCTTGTGGCCAGTTAGAGTAGTTGTCCCGAGTCCCAAGTAGTTTCACGGACGACAAGTTCCTTGAGGCGATTCATAAAATGACGAGGATCCGTTCAAGATCGTCTACGAGTGTGTCACGCAGTGGAACGACGAAGAAAACGCGAGAAGAGGAAAAACCTCGTCGAAGTTACATCATTAGAGGAAGAATAACGTTGTGTCGCGCGGAAACCTAATGGCATATCGTTTATCGTGCTTTTTTAAATCGCGAAGACAGTCATTTATATATTCGAACTACCTATATAGAGCGAACACGGATGTAAACTGGAAATTGTAGGTACAAAGGAAGGAATTGACATGCTTTTTTGGAGAATTGGTAGTGATAAAAGACTACCATATTTTTAAGATGATCATAAAAGTAAAGAAATGAATGACAAACGACAAGGAGAAAAAAGAGAGAGAAAGCGAAATAAGAATCGACGTACTAGAAGAATCAAGTTTAAATTACCATTCATGATGAAAACATGATGTGAAAGTGGGTAGGATTTGAAGAATATATAACTTGGTGTATGTATGTATGTATGTATGTGTATATATATATATATAAAATAAAAAGTCTTGGTATATATTAAGCTTAATCGTAAATATAGTATAAACGAGTAGTGTTTTAAAATCTTTAAATTATGTGTTGGCTGTATTAATTAAATAATATTCAATAGAAAAAATTAAATAACAGAGATGTATAATACAGCGATAAGGTAGGAGAAGAAAAGAATGTGTGTGGCAAAAGGAAATAAAATTGAAAAGAAACAAGGACAAGGACAGCGATGCATAAAACATCCTAGATCCAAAGCGCACTGGAAGTGTAAACGAAATAAATGATAGTCAAGAAAGAGCGATACTGGGAATGCTAAACAAGAGCTGTGCAAATAATACAATTGGCCGGTGTTGCACCTCGCGGGATACACAGCATGTGCCACCGGAGCACAGGAAATTCCGACGCGTTCATGGGCTGCAGCTGCCACTGCATCCTCAACAGATCGTCGGTTGGGTGCTGCTGATCGTCGTGTTTGTCGGTACTTTCACCGTGTTGCTGACGACGCCACCGCTATTGCCCGATCTGCGCTTCGTCCTCTCATTACTATTTGCCGCGTTATTTCTACTGCACGTGTCGACTCATTTGACAGTGTTACTGCTAGATCCGGCCGATCCCGAGGTCCGCGCTCGACCAGTTCGCGTGATCGTACCGGAGTTTGACCGAGCAAAGCATCGACATGTTATCGAGAACGGCCGATGCCACCTTTGCAACATAACGACGCGTGGTCGGCGGACCAAACACTGTTCCATCTGCAACAAGTGCGTACCGCGTTTCGACCATCACTGCAAATGGTTGAACAATTGCATCGGCGG